GTGTCACAGCTGCCCTGTGCCAGTGTCCCTGGGGCGGGACTGACACCCGGGGACAAGGCGCGTCCTTCTGTGTCGGCACAGTGGAAGGAAGGGCTCTGTGCTGCTCTCCTCCCCGGCACAGGGGCTCTCGAAGGCAGCAGCTCAGCCCCTCCCGGCACTTGGGGTCGCCCCCTCCCCACTTGGCCTGGGGAACCTGGACCGGGAGAGCCCCGAATCGGAGCCCCCGAGGGCTCGGGGGGCAAAGAGCGGGGATGGGGAGAGTCCCGGAGCGGCCGGGGGAGCGCTGGGCACGGCTGGGCACGGCTTGGGAGGGACACGGCACGGCACGGCTGGGCACGGCACGGCACGGCTGGGCACGGCACGGCACGGCTCGGCTCGGATCGGCACGGCACGGCCAGGCTGGGCTCGGCACATCCCAGCTCGGCACATCCCAGCTCGGCACATCCCAGCTCGGCACATCCCAGCTCGGCCCGGCCCGGCACGGCACGGCACAGCTCGGCACATCCCAGCTCGGCACATCCCAGCTCGGCACATCCCAGCTCGGCACGGCCCCCTATTCGCGCTCCGCCCTCGGCTCGGCCCTGGACGGGGCGGTGCCCGGAGCAGCGGCGGGGCCGGGACGGGGCTGGAGAGAGCCCGGGATTGGGACGGGACAGCGGCGGAGAGAGGTGTGGGGTCTGCGGGCACTGCTGGGGATAACGGGCTGGGTCCGAGCTGGGGGGGATAACTGGGACTGGGGGCACTGCTGGGGTGTAGGGCTGGAGGGGATAACTGGGGATGGGGGTGCTGGTGGAGTGTGGGGCTGGGGTCCGAACTGGCGGGGATAACTGGGGATGGGGGTGCTGGTGGCGTAGGGGGTGCTGGTAAGGAGTGGGGTCAGAGCTGGGATCTGAAGGAACTGAGTTTCGATTACTGGTTGTAATGGGGTCTAAGTTACTGGTGGAGGCTGGGCGAACAGGGCTTTGGGGTTACTGGTGGGGCGTGGGGCACTGGGATGGAGGTTTCCAGATGGGGTTTGTGGGGACTGATATCTGACCTTGCTGCTGGGATGTGGGGTTACTGGTGTAAGGTGTAAGCTCAGAGGTGGGGACTGGAGGCACTGGAATTGGGGTCACTGGGGTGTGGGGTTACTGGTGTAAGGTGTAAGGTCAGAGGTGGGGACTGGAGGCACTGGAATGGGGGTCACTGCTGGGGTGTGGGGTTACTGGT